TAATATATGTGTTTGGAAAGAATTAAGATTAAAGTAGAAAATATTCATAATACTTTGAATAATATTAAGGAATGGATAATAATAATAAAAAAATTGAAGTGTAAATTATCTAAGTTTATAAATATTATATAAACTCATATGAGAAAAATTTTCATAGTAAAGTGCTACTTCTCTAGGGTAAGGAAGGTCGTGTAAAGAAGAACTATAAAGCTTGGTTTGAAAATGAAATGTATAAGTCTAACCTTTATATATTTTAAATCAAATGTTACATAATTTTTTTTTATAATAATTGATGGATTAATTCAAATGTCTTACCAACAATTGAGATCCAATTTATCATATAAACTAAAAGAGAATAAAATATTTATCATTATAAGGAACTATCTTAAAGTAAAAGTAATAATAGTCGGTACTTATCGTCTAAGAGTCGATTGATTTGATGAATCTTGAGGATGCATATATAATTCTAAAAATTTAATTTTTTTAATCTAAATTTATCAGAATATTATTTTCTTTTAGTGGTTGTAAACTTAATATATTTATGATTCAATAAAAGTTAACTTTTAAATTTTATATAATGGTCTATACAAAATTAATGTGAATATTGAGCTTAGAATGATCCTATAATCAAATATTGGAATGAAACATAGTTTTATGAACTCCTCAAGATTATATACAATTATATCTATAAGTCACTTCATATTCCATGTTTTAAAAGATATAGATATTTTATCACTTTTATAGATTATATATTGAAAATATGATTATCTAAAGTCTTAGGCTATTGACATATTTAGGTGTACATGAATAAAATTAAGAGATAATTAGATAAAAAAGTTAACAATTATCAGATTTGATAGGAGTGGTAAATTATCATTTTTGATTATTATATATTATATTTATAAAGGGAAAGAAAACTTATAATTTATTATTATTATATATTATATTTACAAGAATTAGATTATAATATAGGGCTCAAAATACTTCTCATTACTTTCACAAGTTATAAAAAGTAACGATTCCGAAAATTAGTATGATATAATAAAAAAAAAGTTAAAATCAATGGGTTAGAATGGTGCATGAGAACTCGTCGAATTGCTTAACAATGGTAAAAGAATATGTTATATAAACATGACTCAAAAAGCGATAATGAACGATATAATAGTTAGACTTGTGGCCAAAATTTTACTCATAAAAAATATATCAATCATAATGAGATTTTTTTAAAATAATCTTGTTAAAAATTACCATGACATTAGTAACTCATTTTGATTTTGAGTTATATATGGATATAACATTAGTATATATATGTTGAATGAGTCTCAAAGAGATTTAGTATATAGCTTTATTCAACAAATGATAAAAATAAAAATGTGAGTCAAAATAAGTGTTTTTAAAATGATTTGAAAAAGAATTGGATAAAAAAAATATTCTTTATGTATGCATAATTGGAAGTCTATTATATACTTAAACCTATGCTAAATTATAAATTAGTTTTATAGTTAAAATACTTGATAGATATTAGAGTTATCCAAGAATGAAAATACTAAAAGACTATAGAAAGTAATAAGATATCTGGAAGGAACGAAGAATTATATACTCATATATATGAAATTAGTTCAGCTTAAAATGATGATATTTTTCATGTGTTGATTCTATAAATTACCTTGATAATAGGAAATTCACTTTACGATTTTATATCTATATTAGTTAGAGGGATGATTTATAAAAAATAAAAAATAAAAAATAAAAAATATATTATTTTATTTATAATAGAAGCTAATTTTATGGCATGTTTTGAGGCTACTAACCAAGTTTTATGACTATGAAATTTTATCTCAGGACTTGATATAGTAAGACTTAATTGTTAAGTTGCTGAAGATACTTTTGATATACCATAGTAATTTTTTTCTTTAAAAATGATAAGTATTATTGGAGCTCTATGCAATACGATATAAAATACTTCATGGTTAGATAAAAAAAGTCTAGAAATAATTATTATTTATTAAGAATTTAAATTTCATTATATTGATTGTTGATCCATTCACTTAAGACTTACGCCCTAAAGTGTTAGAAAAAACATATTCTTATGATTGAGTTTGTAAGCAACTCATAAAAGATATGATGATATATGTCTAAATGGACATTATAATTGATATTCTTATTTATATAATTAAAGTTATTTATTTCTACTGTTTCATTCATATTTATGTATATACATATTATTATTGAATATGCTAATAGGATTATCTTAATTAGACAAATTACAGGGGTCATTTTAGACTATATTAAGAAGGGCTAATAGTATTATGGTATATAAAAGAAAGTATAACAATGTTGATATACAACCGGTATGACTTGCATTGATAGTAAGACTTAATATAGTATTATATTTATTGAGTCTATTTTATAAATTTTGTGTACATGTAAAATATTTTTTGAAAGTTTTATAATCTAATTAAATAAAATTATTTTTTAAATATTTTTTATTTTATTTATTTTAATTTTTTTATATCTTATCAATTAATAAGCCAAGTAGGAGAATGTTAGATTATATGACCCTATCTAATTAGATAAAATATATTATAAATATAATTGGATTCTGATTATGATTATCGACCAATAGAAAGGAAGTCCAACTATAATAGAATTTCTTATGGTATGACCTTGATGGAAGGGATCTTGAATCTCGGATTTTGATGATGAAATCAATTGATGAAGTTATGATCTAATGAGTATTTGAGTGACGCAGGACTAATTTTGATCATGGAAAGTTAAATCGATTGAAGCAGGATAATCAAACGTTGGGCCGGAGAGCATTATGTCAGAAGATTGGATGTCGGACCGGAGGATTGGTCGACATGCTAGAAGATAGACTTCATGTCGTGAGTTCGTGCATCAGGCTAGAAGGATCAGACATTACGCTAATAAGATCATATGTTGCGGGGGGTCAACATGTCAATGGATCGGGCAATACGTAAAAAAAAAAGACGATGCACCAAAGGATCAGACAAAGTTGGATGAACCAATAACATGCTAGACAACATAGGATTCATGTTTATAATCATGTATTTTGATCAAAGTAGTTTAGGTTGTAATTAAGTTAGTTTTGGGTGTAACCATGCCAACTCAATTAGAGGCTCATTGGGCCTAAACCAAGGCTGATTTGGGCCTATTGGAAGGCTCAGGGCCTATTGGAAGGCTCATTTAGTGACCTACAGTTGGGTCAGGCAATGACACTATCAGCCCAAGCAGTGGAATCATCTATGAGCTAGAATATATAAAGTGTATGTTTTCCGGAAGATTTCCAGAAGATCCGGCGGTGGTATCGCTCAAATGTAGTCTCCCAGACTATGACATACTGATAGTACCGCCCAGACAGGGCAGTGGTACCGCCAGTGCACAAGGTGGCAAGCAGTGGTATTACCCTAAAATCCTAGGGATTTAAAATTTTGAAGTCATTTGGGGTATATAAATACCCCACTCATTCTTACTTGTATGGTAAGAAAAAAATATAGAAAGACAAAAGAATTCTTAAGAAAAGAGTTGAAATCTCTCCTAAGCTTATGAAAATGAGAAAGAGTTGTAACAAGGATAGTTGATCTCCACCCATTGAAAGAAAATCGTTAGTGAAAGCAAGTAGCCTCGAAGAGGAATCAAGAGTGGACATAGGTCGTGATAATCGAACCACTATAAATTTGGTTTGCATTTACTTACTCACTACTCTTATGCACATTTTAAGTTAAATGTATTTTCGATACGAGTTTAATCAAACGAATTTTCAAATTGAAATATTATAAATCTTTTCTCATCTTCTTTTTGTCCCTAACCTATCGCTCATAGTGATCTTATGAAGGTTATGAAAAGAGAAGAATATGAGTCTAGTTCTCGTTGCAGATTGACATCGCTATAGCTTTTGACTCCGGTAACGGTGCCCCTAAAGATCAAATAATTTTTTTCTGAATAACATCAAAATATGCACATTGTAAATTTAGATCTATTGTTATTTGATTTCAGATTTTTAGTATTATAGTTTTTCACATAATAATAACATAAGGATAATTTTTATGCTAATATAGCATAGGTATAATTTGAGATTTTTTTAAAAAAATAAGTCTAGTTTGACTTAATTAGCTTTTGAAAAATTAACTCTAATTTTTAAAAAATAGCTTTTGAAAAATTATCATATTGACTCGAGCATTAGCATTAAGTCTAGTTTTTAAAAAAATTAGCTAGTAACCACCTCTAAGACTCCATTCCTAGGCACGATAACTCTTATTTTTTATTATTAATTTGAGTATTTTTTATCCATAAAATTTATTATTAATGATTGAGTTAGTGCCTTGATTAGTTGGTAGTATATCCTACTCGAGCAACTTTAAACAGCCATTTAAATATGGTTCCTCGTTTTCGAATCAATCCCAATCTCATTCTATTTCACAATTCATTAAATGAAGTAGACATCATTTTCAACTTTATTTCTGAAATCAGATAATTGCGCAAGACACATTAGTACAATTATCATCATAATATTTCTGAAATCAGATAATTGCACAAGACACATTAGTACAATTATCATCAGTATCATTGTTCATTTTTATCATATCTAAATTAGGACCATATTATTTTTTTTTATAAAATCTCTTTTACAATGAGATAAAAAAAAATTGAATCAATCCCAATATTATTTTCCCTCAAGCATTCTTAACTTTTAGATTCTTGATACTATTTTCAACCCAAACTATTTTCCCTCAGGATGACATTAATAGATGGATGATTTCTAGGATTTGTAGCATGTGCTAAGGTCCTATATTTCTTTAGAAGGAAATAATATTGGAATTTAAAGATATGAATATTGAATGGTACTATGCTTTAATTATAATTTGACAGTTAAAATGGTATCAATACCATGACCCTTAGAGTATTTTATATTTTGATATATTTAAAATTTCAACTATCAATTGATAAAGGGAGGGAAATATATGCTAGACAAAATCCACTATTTCCAAGCTTGCAAGAACATATATGCTGCCAGGGGCAAATACTACATAGTTGTACTGTTCAGTGATTGATCACATGACATAAAGGATTGTGGAATCCAACATTATCCTACAGGATCACTGACATCTTTATAAACTTGTGACAGTGTATGCCTACTTTGCTGTGCTTCAAGACTCAAGTTGCAAGAGAAGCAATGAACAATGGTCTTCTCTTTTCCCCATCTCCGTGGTTAGGAAATCTAACACTGCAGTAGTACGATCGACAACAGCACATACAGCATTTGAGGTGATCAGGTGCACCCAAAGTTTCTGTGTCCGAGGGGTGCATGACCTGTTCATCACCTCTAAATTCAAGATTCTCTGCTGGTATATACAGCTCCAATGTGTTGCAGACAATCCGATAACAGGTGCTTCACCAATCATCACCAGTCCTTTTGCAGATCCATGTGAGCTACTTCTTTAGCTTGTTTATTGCTCGAAGTGGCCTCTGCAATAAATTTGGGCTGGTAAGTGTCACAACATAATGAATATAACACATGTTTCTGTATCAATCGAGTCGGAAAGTGCCAACAGCAGTTATTGTTCATATCACAAAGCAAATGACCAACCACCTAAATTTGAGTTCTATGGAGGACACTTACATGCACCTAATCTTCACCCATGTCAATGCAGAATAGGATGAGGGAGATGAGAGAGAACGGTGCATGACCTAATAAAAAATTGCTCCTGGAATACACCTATTATCTTTGCTGGTTTTCTGCGGCTCAATCTCATCTAAAGTTTAAATCACCTGAAATCACTGGAATAAAACACAGTATTCAGATTATGAGTTCTCTGAATCTGCCCATCCAAGAAATTCTCATGTTTCTTCATCTTGTCATCAAGTCGGGGACAAAAACAAAAAAGAGTAGGACCAGAGATTTTGCATACAGAGAAGAAGAGCAAAACCTGGCAATGCCAATGGTAAACAAGCTAATCATGATACTAGATTATGCAGCAATGTCTGATGTACTTGGATATTAGAAATGACACTGCATCCACATGCAAACTCTACCCTTGTTATATATCTCAATGTAAACAAGGAAATTTCATTTACGCTTTACAAGTCAGTAATTACCATGACCAAGCATTGCAATTTCTAATGCATCTTGAAAACAAACAAGCAGCTTCTAAAAGCATGAGCTTATCAAGAACCTTGAGGAAAAGCTGAATCAAGCTCGTGCCAACAACTAATTACATGCGGGCAAAATACTGCCAAGGAGGATCACAAAGACATCCCCACTCCAAGCTTTCAAAATCTTCCAAAATTGTGTAGTCTAAGCATCTCCTCTAATAATTTAAATATACTGAACGAGTAATCCATTGCATACCGATCAGTCTCTCCAAGTGCTTATGATATTTCTGTATTTATTGGATAGGAAGAGAAAGAACTTAAAAATCGAAGGAAATCTCAATCATCAACAATGAAAGAATATAGCAGAAAATCGATGCAAGATTAAATTGATTTGACACTTCTTATATCTACGAAAAAAAATATTTTTTTATTGTAAAAAAAAACAAGTATAAAGAATTAATTTCTCTTTAGTTAATTAGACTCAATTCTCTTTGAATCCACTAGAGATGACCCGTGGAAGCTTCTCTCGATCCTCTTTGAAAATCCACTAAAGAATAAGAGCACCTCAAGTATTTTTTTCTACATGCCAAACTTATAGTATATTTATACTCATAAATTTTAATTTTTTATTTAGATTTCTAATCTAAATCTTAATCCCATTTCAAATTCAACTGATAAGCCCATCAATTGATCTCACCCACATCTCGATTCTTTAATCGTGACAGGCCACGCGGTTAGATGGGGGTAGTCGCGCATGGGCCGGTGGTGCCCCTTGTCAGCTGACGTGACCTGACACGCTACTTCCGAAGCCTACAATTATATATCCACAGTTATATATCTCAAAAACACTACTAAACCAACATTTGCTGATGGCAATCTTCCTAGTCTAACTAAAAAAACAATCTAAATTAACAGTCAATGTCCAAATCACCATTTTTTTTTATTGTTAAGATCAAAAAGAAGAAAATAATTTAAGAAAAGAAAAAACGATTTTGAGAGGCTCTCAGTTTCAGAAGGTGGAGTTTGCATATAAGTATTGGCTTGTTTTAAATTTGTTGCAAAAAGAACGGGCAATTCTGTTTTTTCTAACGGAAATATTCTGGAATTGCTTTAATACTTGGAAACATGCAAGAGCTAGTGGTAAATAATGCTATTCTTACTCTGAAAACAGAAAAAACAAACAGAGTAGCCAAAAGAAAACATTTTTTGCAGAGAAATAAGAAAGTGTTAGTGATTGAGAGATGGAGAGAGGCGTTCCGTTACGGGGTTGAATCAAGGCAGGTAGAGAGCGGGGTCGGCGTCTTCCCAGTGGCCGTGGCTCCAGTACGCCGACGCGGGGTCGACAGCGGTGGCGAGATCGAAGAACGCCGGGTCTACCGACGCACCGGGCCAGTCCATCCCGGCGATCGCACACCCGGCGCCGGAGCCCGCCCCCCGTGGGTCGATCGCGACCGCCTGATTCGTGAACCCCGTCTGTGCGCTGATCTCCTCCGCAGCTTTCGACTGTGGCGGGAGCGGAACGGGTGGTGGATCGGGAAATCTGTTGAATCCCAGGATCGCCGGCGTTGAAGCGAGCGACATCTGGCTCGGGAAGCTCCCCGCTGCGGCGGTGGATGTGTCCGGGAAGATATCCGCTGCCTGGACCAGTGGAACCTCCATCGTCGTCGCTGAATCGAAGGAAGGGGCCGGATCGGGGTTAGGGTCAGGAGGAGGGGTCAGGAGGGCCGAATTGGGGAAGGGGGTGGTGGACGTGGGCACATCAGCGGTTGCGAGAGTGGAGCAGCCGCTGCCACTGCCACTGCCACTGCCGCTGCTGGATCGAGGGGCGGCAGAGGGACGGCGGGGTGGGTCCTTACGCTCGGAGCCACCGGAGGGCTTAGACATGGAGGATCGTTTGGACTTGCGGCATCCGCCGCCGACCGGAACGTTGCGGAGGACGCCTCCTTTGGTCCAGTAGCGGCGGCAGGACTTGCAGAAGTGGCGGGGCTGGGCGAGGTTGTAGTTGTTGTAGTAGCAGAATTTGGTGTTGGTGGAGTCACAGCGGGGGCACTTGACGGGAAGCTGCGGCTGCGCCGGCGGCAGAGGAGGGTAGTCCCTGACGCGCCCTCCTCCTCCTCCTCCGCCGGGGATCGCCCCAAAGTCTTGCATTCCGGTGGCTTCTGAAGGTTCCGGAAGCTTCAGAGGTACGGATACCCGTCGGTGGATGCGAGAGAGAGAGAGGTAAGAGAACTTGGGTGACTCTTCTCTTCAAATTCTGCTTGCACTCTCGTTCAGAACTCTATTGGTGTTTGATGCATGAGCCACATAAGTAGCCAATTGGAAATATCTTCTGCTGGTCTCCGTTGCACAATGCCCATTTTACCCCCCACAAAATTGTAGAACAGTGGAATAGACCTCCTCGAGAGTCCTATTTGATGATCCACCAAACCCAATATGATGCACAACGATCGTCCTTATGCCGACACTATCAATCACAGGTTTACATCATGCTGAAGGTCAAAGGATGAGTCAGTCAGTCAATAAAATAAACGTTGATATGTACGGGACTGGACTTGAAGGATGGCCGTGTAACACATAGATGTACAATTTATAACCATGACTTATCATAATCGCTACAGGTTAATGTGTTGTTCATGTGACACTAATTTGTTGTCACTAGATGTTGGTGTAGGAGAGCCAGGGATAAACCAGTCAATCTACATTACATAGATGTCTAATTTATGACCATGACTACTTATCTATCGTATCGCTATAGGTTAATATGTTGTTCATGTGACACTAATTTGTTGTCACTAGATATTGGTGTAGGAGAGCAAGGGATAAACTAGTCAATCTACCTTACGGGAAGTGGAGGCGAGTACACTCCAACCTATCTTTCTTGAATCGTGTCCTCCCTAGAGAGAGAGAGAGAGAGAGGGGGAGGGACGGCCCACCAGCCTTCACGCCGACGACGGAGAGGCGTAGGTACGTCCGTGGTGCAGGCTCGCCCGGTCGGATGGCGACGCTGGGGCGGGGGAGGTACGGCCAAGCTCGGGTGGCTGCCCCACCGCCAAATCCTACTGTCGGCCACCCAGCTACTGGCAGAGGCCAATGGTTTCGTGTCGCCGCCCCACTCTGTTGGTCCTCCACCGGCCGGGCTTACCTAACGGCCTCCCATTGGGCGCCGAGCCAATGATTGCGCCGCGCCCAGCGAGTGTTGAGGTCCGCTACCTTCTCGTACGCTCCCCTCTGACACGGCGTACGTTGGACGAAGGAGCTACACCATACTGCCTCCTCCCCCCACCCCCCATGTGACCCCTCCTCCACTCTCGCTTCACTGCGGCCATCGTTGGGTGAATCCTCTTTACCCCCTCTTTGAAGGCAGAGCTCTCTCTCTCCCTCTCTCTCTCTCTCTCTCTCTCTCTCTCTCTCTGGGTGAATGAATCCTCTTTACCCCCTCTTTGATTATATATATGGTGCACAAAGAAAGCCTTGGATTTTTAACATGCTAAAAGCCATGGATAATAAACAAAGTGTACCACAACAAAATACATATCGTGATCCATGTCTACGAAGACGACGAGTGGTGGCACTGTGCTACATGCATTGGGTTGCTGATCATGCACATATCCTGGTTTATTCATCGTAAATGAATAATATTATCGTTTTATCGAGATTCATAAAAAGATAATATATATAAATTGAAGAATAAAAAGTTAAAACGAATAAAATATATTGTGAAACCGAAATGTTAGTTCACCAACCTATGAAGATAGAAGATGGTCAGTGAATTTTATTCAAAGTGAGCTGAACTGATATCGATGTCAGAGAGAGGGCAGGGAATGAGATGTGATTGCTTAATTTCCTGGAGGTGTGTGTGGTCGGAGGTCAGGGATGAGCTTTTGGCATTCAATGGATGTGGCTCCCAACGTTGTGTCAGTCACTATGCTAGATGTGATCAGCCTCGATACTGTATAGATGTGTGCTGAGAAAACCCCATGTAGCTCTAATGACACATTTGTATGTTTGTGATACAAGTCAAGATCCATGGACTCAATTCTCCTGACAAAAATTATATGGGTTAGCAACACGCACAGTAGCGAGGCAGCGTTCAGCATTAGACTGGGATGACATTGACGGGGACTTTTGCTTCTTCTTCTTCTTCTTCTTCTTCGTCGAGGTACTTTTGACGAGGAGTCTTAGCTGATGATCTAACATAGTAACTCACAATCATAGATTATTTTAGGGGGGACTGGAGGCCATGCACCATCCTGCACACCCTGATGCAGACACATCCCTTGGATAAAGGGAACATAACTTGTACTATCATGGATGGAGGCAGGAAGTGTGCAGCGGTGGGGGGGGGGGGGGGTGAGAAGGAGTAGGGTTTGCCCATGTAACCAAGCTTTCCCCATGGGCTCCATCTCTTGGGCGAATCACATGATGCCCTGCCCACCACCCTCTCCCCATCATCAACGCACATCATTTTCCAAGGCAGTGTGGTCACTTTGATATCCAACTGTTTCCCCACACCTTAACTCCTCCTCCTCCTCCTTCTCCTTCCCCAACTCATTCTGCTTACAGCAAACAGGCCTACATTAATCACACGAAGCCAACCACTAGCTGCTCTATGTGAGAGAGACTTTTGGGTGGACCTACAAATTCAAATGCACTAACAAAACAATTTAATTCATATTTTAAATATAAATTGATGTTTAATAAATTTATTTTAAATCATATCTCATCTAAATACCATAGTGAAAATACTTAAATGCTGGTGATACCTCGTGATAGCATTAGTATTTTAGCATTTGCGAGATGTTGAATCTATTTTTCTTTTAATTCTAAAATTTTAAATTTATCAAAATGACAGTGATAAATCAACATGATCTATATTTTATATAAGATGACTTTTTTTATTTATTTACTTTTAAAAACGATTGCTTTTTTATTTAAATAAATATGTTTTTAATTTTTATAAGATTACATATATACATACATATATATTATTTACTTATTAATTTAAATAAAAATATATATTTTTTAAATAAATATTAAAATTATTAAAATGATAAATTTATCATAAAATATTCAATGTACTTTTGAAATATAATTTTCTCAAATGATGCTTACTTTAATTACATATTTAAAATGTAGTTTTCATCTATTACTTATCAAATATAAAATTAAGATATTTTATACTTATATAGTTATTTTAATTT